TTTTTAGGTAGGTCTGGGATGTGGAAGATAATTTGCATTTCCAGCAAGTTTCCCGGGAGTGCTGGTAGTGTTTGGTCTGGGGTCCACACTTGGAGGGGTGCTTCAAGAAGGCCAGTTGACATCACCTGCATGATAAAGAAAGGAATTCAGAAAATAGCGGGAGCTGAGATGTGCGTGCCTATTTTTTCCTCCCCCAGTTGACAACGTGGAGTCAATAGGGAGGAGAAGCCATACGTTGCAGAAATCCTGGGAACTCAATTCTTCACATTTTTGAGGCATAAAAGTTGAATTAATGTAAGATTTTAAAGTAGGGGCTGGCACAGTGCTATGCTCTGCCTGTGGTGCCGGCTATCCCATCTGGGGACATTTGTGTCCCAGCTGCTCCACTTCCAGACCAGCTTTCTGCTCATGGCCTGGGAAAGCAGCAGAGTCCTAAGGACGCTGCATCCACATGGGAGTTCCTGGCTCCCAGGTTCAGATCAGCTCAACTCTGGCCATTGTGGTCATTTTGGTAGTGAACCAGCAGACAGAAGACCTCTATCTCTCTCTCCAGTCTGTAGAGTCTGCCTCTCAAATAAAAATAAGGACTTAAAAAGGTTTAGAACTAGTGGTTGAATTGGAGCATATAAAAGTAGTAGGATTATACAGAACCTGGGGAGAATTTTAGTTGTACTTACATTTAAAAAAAATACTGGATTTTTGTGCCCTATAAATGCTTTATATAGTGTATTGTACCTTGATGTAGTAAGCTTACCTTAACTATTGTAGTGAAATGAAATTCGATCTCAGGACTTGAAGCTATGTCGTTGCTTCTGTGTACTTTTATGATACATGCAGCATTTAAATTGTTATAAAAGACTTACCAGTCAGGCAGTACCCTCTTTAACCTCGAACTGACACTGGGGTACTAGTCTCGTTAGGGAATTTGAAGTCTTTCTGTAGCTAAAGAAATTCTTAATTTTTAAAATATACATCTAAAGAGATGAATTTGAGTCAATTGGAAAAATTTTAATGTCACTCATATTTTAAAGGTTTGTATAAAACTCTTAATTAGAAAACTGTGGCTGGTGTTGTGGCTTAGTGGGTAAAGCACCAGCTTATGACATCATCCCATATGGAAGCTGGTTTGAGTCCTGACTGCTCCACTTTTGATCTGGCTGCCTGGTAATGTACCTGGGAAGACAGTGGCCACTCATGTGGGAGACCCAGACGAAGCTTCTGGCTCCTGTCTTTGGTCCTGTCCAGTCCAGGCCGTTATGACCATTTGGGGAGTTAACCAGCAGATGGAAGATCTAGGTGTGTCCCCCTTTTTTCTGTAACTGCCTTTAAAATAAATAAAACACATTAAAAAAAAAAAAAGTAAATTGAATGTATGTTATTTCCAGTAAGCTGGGAAAACTGCCACTTCAATTTGAAATTTTATGAAGACTGAATTTTTTCTAAAAGATTGATTTATTTTTTATTGGAAAGGCAGAGTTTCCAAGGAGGAGGGACAGAAAGATCTTCCATCTGCTGATTAACTCGCCAGGTAGCCACAATGGCTGGGGCTGAGCTGATCCGGAGCCAGGAGCCAGGAGCTTCTTTTGTGTCTCCCATGTGAATGCAGGGTCCCAAGGCTTTGAGCCAACCTCTACTGCTTTCCCAGGCTACAAGCAGGGAACTATAAGGGAAGTGGGTCAGCCAGGACACATATCAGCACCTATATGGAATGTTAACGCTTACAGGCAGAGCATTAATCAGTTGAGCCATTGTGCTGTCCTCTGAAGTTTTTATTTTAATTCTAACTTGTCTGCTGTTTGAGATCATTTAATAGTGCTTCAGACAAAATACCCATTTATTGCACTCCCAGAGTGGTTTGATCTGAGCTTTGGAATTTGAGTCCTAACTGATTTGTTTTTAAAATGTTTATTTATTTGGGGCTGGCATCGTGATGTAGCAGACTAAGCTTCTGTCTGGTCCTGGCTGCTCCACTTCCAATCCAGCTCTCTGCTTATGGCCTGGAAAGCAGCAGAGGATGGCTCAGGTCCTTGGGATCCTGCATTGACATGGGAGAAGCTACTGGCTTCGGATGAACTCAGTTGTGGCTATTGTGGTCATTTGGGGAGTGAACCAGCAGATGAAAAATTGATTTTTCCCTTTGTAACTTGACCTTTCATGTTGAAATAAAATAAGTATTTTTTAAAAGATATTTATTTATTTGAAAAGAGTTAGAGAAGGAGAGAGCACATGTTTCACTTCCAAGTGGCTGCAACAACTTGCGGGCCAGGTGGAAGCCAGGAACCTAGAATTCTGTCAGGGTCTGCCACGTGGAAGTTAGGAGCAAAGCACCTGGGCCAGCTTCCATTGCTTTTTCAGGTGCATTAGCAGGGAGCTGGATCAGAAGTGGAGCAGGGGTTGGTACCATGGCATAGTAGGTTAAACCTCCACCTTTGGCACCAGCATTCTGTATGGATGCCAGTTCATGTCTTGGCTGCTCCACTTCTGATCCAGCTCCCTACTATGGCCTGGGAAGCCAATGGAGGATGGCTCATGTATGTGGGCCTTGCTCCCATTTGGGAGACCTGGAAGAAGCTATGGAAGCTGTGACTCCTGGCTTCTAGTTGGCTCAGATTTCTCCTTCTCTTTGCTGTTCCTTACAAATAAAAATATACCTTTCTTTTCTTTTCTTTTTTTTTTTTCTTTCTTTCTTTCTTTTTCTTTTTTTTTTAAGAAAGGAGTGGAGCAGCTTGGATTCAAACCACTGTTGGCCCAGAAAGAATGCTGGTCTCACAGATCGTAGCTTAATGCACTGTGCCTCAACTGTGCCCACGTGACTAATGTGCAATCACTTGACTAGGAAAAAACATGTTTTATTTGTATAAAAATAAATTCTGAATACGTAATCAAGCAATGTGACGTATATGACTGCTTTAAAAAATATAAGTGCCCCCTGTTGGTAGTAGTATTTGATTTCTTTTTTAAGATTTATTTATTTGAAGACAGAGTTGGAGAGCAGGAATGACAGCAAGCTTCCGTCTAGTGATTATTGCTCCGTGAATGTTCATAGCTGTTCTGGGTAGTCAAGGCTGAAGACAGAAGCTCCACCTGGGTCCCTCACGTCTGTGGCAGAGGCCAAACTCTTGGGTCAAATCCACTGCTTTCCCAGGCACATTAGCAGGGAGCTGGATTGGAAGTGGTGCTGCTGTGACTTGAATCAGTGTTCATATAGGCTGCTGGGGCCAGCTTAATGGAATGTGCCACAAGATAGAAACTAGTATAAAAGTAAAAAGTTGAATTATGAGTATTTGAATAAGCCCAGTATCTAAGATATGTTCATGAGTGTTAACAATGGTCACATGGCTATATTTTTAAACCTCACTCTTTAATGACTCCAAATATCCTTGAAAAAATTGGTAAATTGGCAGTGTATTGGTCCCCACAGATAATATGTATATTTGCAAAGGCATGGAATTCTCACTAGGTGGCAGCAGCTGATGACATTTAACTTCCTAAACAGCAAGCAAACTTGCATATGTAACTGCATTATGAATTTCTCAAGAATGAGATGTATATCTTTCTGGAAACTTTTTGGAAAGACTGGAACTAGAAAGGTACAATTTGTTGAGTTTTTGCAATCCAGACATCTAAATCACTGGCATCTGGATCAAGAAGTAAGCTAAATCAGCATTCCAGAAGCAGGTCTTAACGTCCCTTCCTGTTGTCACCCTCCCTCAAGTTCCTTTTTGCGTCATCAGTTAATTGCAGTTTTGAATACACTATTCCACAGTTCATAACTTCATGTTTGCCTATATATATGTACGGCCCCATAATCACCATCTGATTAGAGAGTGTTTCCAGCACTGCCTGTTTCTTGGTCACTTTTTGCCATGTTGTGTCTTAAGCTTTGTATTTCTGTCCTAACACATTTACAACAACAAAATCAGTGTGTTGTGTTTGTGTAACCTTTCTTTTTGTAATTTTTGTCATTAGTATTTTCCATATCATAAATATTTATTAGCAAGTATTTTTAGTGGCTGTGTGATAGTTGTATATAGATGACATGATTTTAAAAATACTGCTTGCTACATATTTTGTTCCAGTTTTTCTTTATAAATCAAATTTTGGTCAACTTGAAAATTGTGTAAGTGTGATTGCCTGTGCGTTTACTAGGTTGAATACATGATCATTTAAAGATTATGAATCTTCATTTCCAAACTTCTTCTTAGAAAGGCAATACCAACTTACATATTTCTGGAAATTGCTGATAAGATTATATCCTTATTAGCTTTTTCTAAAAAGCACTAACAGCTTTCTTTTATAGAGCAACTTAAGATTTACAGAAAAATTGAGCTGGAAATTTGAGCAGAGAATTTTGACCAAATACTGATGTGTATGTTAGTATTACACATTGGCTCCACTGCCCCGATCATCTTGTGTACTCGCCAGTTCATTCCTTCCCTCCTCCTAGAAGCAGTTAGCAACCACTGATGTTTCTGTTATTCAATAATTTTGCACTTCTCAGAATATCAGACACTTGAAAGTATATAATTTATAGTCTCTCACTTGGAGCACAAATTTCCACTTTTTTAAGTTAGCTTACTTTTTGTTGCTAATTTATATTCATGTATGGGTATTTTAAGGTTGGTTTTGTTCTTCAGTTACTGTAGGACGTATTGGTTACTTCTCATGGTTTGGCAATTATGGATAAAGTTACCATAAACTTCCTACGTGCAGGTGTTCTTATGGACATAAAGCTTCAATTCCTTTGGGAAAATACCAAGGAACGGAATTGTTGGATTATATGGAAAAGATATGTAATTCTATGAGAAGCTACCCAGTTATCTTCCCAAGTGTCAGTACCCTTTTGTGTCCCCACCAGGAATGAATGAGAATTTGAAACATTAGAACAAAGAGGGTATGTAAGTTTAGAAGAACCTAAAGCAAAAGGCCATATAGTGTTTATAAACTGAGTTGTGACCACCTACTTCACTGTCCTCATGGTGTTCTTGCTTTTGTTTCAGGTTCAATTCACTCAAAAGGATTAATACCATATTGCGACATTTGGTAAGTTTGGACTTAGTTTTATTGATGTTAAGTAGTGATATGTAATTTAAAACATCTTTGTTAGGAAAGTGGAGAAATAATTGAGTTCTCAGGTTTTGCTTTGGTGCACTGCAGTTCTTAATTTTGTAATGTGAACATTTGATATCGCAGGAGGTGGCATATGATTGTGGTTAAAGATCTGGCCCTTCGAGTCAGAATGCCTTGATTTAAACGTGTCTACCACTTAATCTGGGACCAACTATGTGGTCTCCCAGAGCCTCCTTTTTGATGCGTACAAAATAAGGGAGATCACTGTGTGAGAGGCTTTCAAAACATCCATGGGAAAATGAATTAAAAGTGACATGCGCAGGCACTTGGTGCAGTAGGCAAGACACCGCTTGTGACGTTCGTATCTCGTGTTGGAGTCCCAGCTCTGCTTCCAATGCCAGTGTCTTGCTTATGAGCATCCTGGAAGGTAGTTGGCGATGGCTCAAGGATTGGATACCTGGCATGCACATGGGAGACTGGATTGAGTTCTTGGCTTAGACCTAGCCCATCCCAGGCTGTAGCCAGAATTCAGGGAGTAAACCAGTTGATGATAGATCACTCTCTGTATCCATCCTTAAAATCTAGAGGATTTTCTGAATTATAAGTCACGGTATTATTTCTAGGTACAGATCAGAAACTCGAGGAGAGAGATGCTAGGTAACATGCCCAAGTGTAAGACAGCTAGGGAATTGGAAGTGCAGTTTGAGCCCAGATAATATGGAACCATGGGCTTACTTACAGCACGCTAGCCGCTGACAGAGTGGGCATTGAGTATTGCAGAAAGTGTGGTGGGGATGGAGATAATGACTGAATATTCCTTTTTACCCCTAATAGGACTGAGAAGTTTTTTAGAAAAAACTTGGAACAATGTTAATGATTTATAGTTAGGTAAATATACACAGGTGGAATGGGAAGACATGATGGAATCCAGATTAGGTGGGAGAGTGTGGCACAAGGTGCATAGGCCACGTTGAGAGACAGAAGATAAAGTTGACTCTCAGCAAGGCCTGAGAGGTGAGTGGTTCTAGGTCCTGATGTTTGCTTTGATATGTGCTTCATATCAAAGGGACAAAGAGGATGGCTGCCTGTCCGTCTGTGACGCTTTTGGGAGCTCTGGAAGGGAGAGAGAATTGTATAATGCTTTCATGTTACACTTATGTTCTAACAGTTTAAATTTAATGTAATTTAGTGGGAAGGGTATGAGACAAGATATAGGGAAATAAAGCATGTCCAACATGATGTTTTACTAAAATGCGAAGAGGATTTCTCTGGTTATGTCCACATTTGCCCATGCATTGGGTATTGGGGGTTCCATAGTGAAAGGAATATATTTAAGAGTGAGACTTGGGCCTGGCGCGGTGGGTGGCGCAAGTGGTTAAAGGTCCTCGCCTTGCACGCTCAGGATCCCATATGGGCGCTGGTTCTAATCCCGGCAGCCCCGCTTCCCTTCCAGCTCCCTGCCTGTGGCCTGGGAAAGCAGTCGAGGACGGCCCAAAGCTTTGGGAACCTGCACCCGCGTGGGAGACCCAGAAGAGGCTCCTGGCTTTGGATCGGCATAGTATCGGCCCGTTGCGCTCACTTGGGGAGTGAATCATCGGATGGAAGATCTTTCTCTCTGTCTCTCCTCTATATATCCGCCTTTCCAATGAAAAAATAATAAAAATAAATCTTTAAAAAATTAAAAAAAAAAAAAAAGAGTGAGACTTGGGGGCCCGGCATGATGGCGCAGGTGGTTAAGGTCCTCGCCTTGCATGCCCAGGATCCCATATGGGCACAGGTTCTAATCCCGGCAGCCCTGCTTCCCATCCAGCTCCCTGCCTGTGGCCTGGGAAAGCAGTCCAGGACAGCCCAAAGCTTTGGAACCCTGCACCCACGTGGGAGACCCGGAAGAGGCTCCTGGCCTCGGATTGGCTCAGCTCCAGCCATTGTGGCTGCTTGGGGAGTGAATGATCGGATGGAAAATCTTCCTCTCTGTCTCTCCTCTCTGTATATTCACTTTTCCAATAAAAATAAAATAAAATCTTGAAAAAAAAAAAAGAGTGAGACTTGGGTAGCCACCACGTGAAGTTTGTCATAGGCTGGTGATGCGGCCAGGCTGCCTCAGTAGAATGCTGGGTTATTCATTCAGTTTGTCAGATATTTTTTGGATACCCACCATGTTTCCTGAAAGGGAACAAATATTTGTATCTGACAGTAGTAATAAAGGTTCTGAAGTGTACAAAATGTACCCTGAAAAAATCAAATTTCAAGAAAAATTTTATGGGAAATGTTCAAGTAAGAAGTGTACTACATTTTATATTTTCCGTGCTCTCTCAACATGTAATACAGATTTAAGTGCAGTAGTAAAGAACTCAATAGTGTTTCATAGTCCAAGGGATTTTAGGACTGGACTGTATTCAAAGTCAGTTGATTCGATTTTCTCACAACTAGAAATTTTGAAATTGAGAAGGCATGTATAGTTTGCCTTGGAATTGTTTATCTGCAGAGGCAAAAACTTTAGAAACCTTTTTCAGATATACCCAGTTACGGATATTTCTAGTTACCAACATGAAAGATGCACATCTTATTAATTTTAAACATGCAAAGGTAAAGGGAATTGCAGACTTGTGCAGGTCTCTGGGTGGGATGCAAAGGGATGATAGGTGGGGAGAAGATGGATGGGGAAAGAGACCTCGTCCCCTCTTCTGTGACCATGGCAGAGGATGGGAGTGGGGGCAGATGTGCTGCTGCTTACTGCAGATCATATCAGCACCGGAGGACAGAGAAAGTCTCCTGCTTTTGCCCCAGGCACCCTGATGGGGAGAAGAATGTTCTGAGGGTATTACCTGTGTCCTCTCAAATGTTCTGAGACTGTCTTGGCTTCATTGTACCAGATGTGAGGTCCTGCTTAGACTTTCCAGCTGCTGTTTCCGTGTGTTCATAGCTTTAGATGCTTGTGGAGAATTTGACCCATAGTGTTGTTCTAACTGTTCTTCTTTCCATTTTTTGGTGAGGCACTTAGGGTCCTCTGTTAAATCAGAGATTGGCTATTCTCTCTCTCTTTCTCTCTTTTTATATTTTTTCTAAGATTTATTTATTTTTATTGGAAAGGCAGATTTACAGAGAGAAGGGGAGACACAGAGAGAGAGATCTTCTGTCCACTGGTTCACTGCTTAAGTGGCTGCAACAGCTGGAGCTGAGCCAATCTAAAGCTGAGCACCAGGAGCTTTTTCTAGATCTCACACATGGGTGCAGAGTCCCAAGGGTTTGGGTCATCCTCTACTGCTTTTCCACAAGCAGAGAACTGAAGAAGAAGTGGGGTAGCTGGGAACTGATGCCATGTATATATATATGATCTCAGTGCATACAAGGTGAGGATTTAGCCACTACGCTATTGTGCTAGGCCCAACTGTCCTGTATTTCATGTGTATCCCGATATGTTATCTTTTTTACATGGGGTCAGCAGTAGGGGTGGCCCAGTCCCACAGTATGTGCTCCAAGGCCAATGCAAGCATGTGTATGGTTCCTGGAGATTGAGGATTTAGTGGAATGGACCTATTGGGACTACTCCTATGAGCCTCTACTGAGTTTGTCCCGAGACCCAGCTCTCACATGTGCTAGCAGGGGCTGCTGCTTAGCCCAGCTTAGTCTGCCCCAAACCCCTACCAGACCCGTACCAATTGGTGCTGCAATCTACCCTGGCCTAGTCCGTTCCCAGCCCTAGTTCTTGTGTGTACAGTTGGGTGTTTTGGTCTGAAACAGGGAGGCCTTCTGACCTCTTCATTCTGAACTACCCAATCTCAGCACCCTCAATTACCTGTGGGTGCAGTGGCTCAATCTGTCAAGCCTTCAGAAATCATTTTACAAATGTCAAACAAGCTCTTAGTCGGCCCCCATCCCAACTCATCCCTGACCCCATTTTCCCAGTCTCTAGCACTACATGCTCATCTCTCCCCAGTTCATTCAAGGCTATGGTGATGGAAGTGGGGTTGCCTGGCTGGGGTGTGCCCATGATGGCATGACAGGCATTTTCTCTTCCCCCTAGATCTTAAAAAAAGGCAACTATGCTGGCACACTGATGTAGTCAGCACAGAGTTGGCATTAACCGGGCCAAGAGTACCGGTCAGCTGGCTGCTCTTTTCCCTTGCTAGGTGCAAAGCAACTTAGGTTGCTGCCTAAAGCTGGGAAAGATGTGCATTTCTAGAAAATATTTATTTTAAAGGCAGTGTTCCAGAGAGAGGGAAACAGAACTTCATTTGCTGGTTCACTCCCCAAGTGGCCAGATTAACTGGGGCTGGGTCAGTCTAAAGTCAGGAGCCAGGAGTTCTGTCTGTGCCTTCTACTTAAGTGGCAGGAGCCCAAGAACCTGGACCATTTTCACTGGTTTCCCAGGTGCATTAGTAGCTGGATCGAAAGTGGAGCAGGTGGAACTCAAATGTGCTAGGCCACAACAAGGGCTGTAAGATGCACATTTTCCCATTTTGTTTGTGTTTCCCATTCCTAGAAGTTCGGAGTAAGGGAGGAAGGAATACTAAGATTTACATGTTAGTGTTCTCACAGAGTTGTCCTATCTCCTAGTTCAAAGTGTTACTGACTGTATTGGTCAATGATGTTATACTGATGTGGAATTGCAATATACTATGTAGCAAAAGTGAGTCAAGGTAAAAACAGCCTACTATTTCTGTTTATCCTTTGAATAAGTAATAATAATAATAATGATAATAATTATTACAACAATATAATATAATTAATGACATAACTATCAATTATATAATTATAATTTTATTATAAAACTATCTAATTAATATATAATTGTATATAATGTAATAATAAAATTATTATTATAGGTAATAATAATTATTATCTTGCTAAAAGCAAGATAACTTAGGTATTATTAGCCTAGGCAGAAATTATTAGTTATTTTGTAAAGACTGTGGAAGGAAGGAAGGAAGGAAGGAAGGAAGGAAGGAAGGGAAAGTCCATTCATATTGAAGGAAATTATTTATATTTATCATGTATGTTTCAATGTTGGCATGTGACAAAAACCTAATGAATTTTAATGTGAAATCTGTTTTTGGTTTATACAGAGAATGTCTAAGCACACTGATGCAGCAGGAGATGTCATATTGGAAAAGAAAGGTTGTGCAGGAGTGATAACCCTAAACAGACCAAAGTTTTTAAATGCACTGAATGTTGATATGATTCGGCAGATTTATCCACAGCTAAAGGTTTGTGAATTTTTTTTTAAGAATTGTTTAACAATCTTTCAACAAAAGTATACCACAGTAGAACATTTCTTCCTATAGTTTTGGAACTCGGGGATATTGGCTCAAACTGCATTGATCTTTGGGACTTCTGGCAATCATGCTGATCCTAAGGAGTTAATTGCCTCACACTCAGATACCTCTCTCCACTTGCTTTTACAGATCTTCTGTCACTCTTTGCTTCTCTGACCTTTTATTTATTTATGCATTTTTAAAAAGCAATATTTAATTTATGGGACTGGGGTGAGGGAGCAGTGAGAGAGGTCTGCCATTCACTGGTTCATTCCCCAAATGGCAACAACAGCCAAATATGGGTCCTGCAGCAGCCAGGAGGCAGGAGCCAGGAATCCTATTTACGTGAGGGGTTCAAGTTTTGTACATCAGCAAAAAACTGACTTAAAACAGCATTAGATATGAAATGCCATTTTAACCCTCTGTGTCACAACATCCTGGCTGTTTCTCTGACCTTTAAAATTTTTTAAATTTAATTTTTAATATGGTTCACATAATTAAGAGTTTCATGCCCATGTGGGCCCCAGACTAGGGTGGGGAGAGGAGAGTTGAGGCAAGGAGGAAGGTGGGTAAGAAAATGCCTTAGTTCCTTTCTTTTCCATTTTTGCCCCGTGTCTGCTTTGGGGGAAGGGGAGGTTATCAATCCTTATTGTCAAACTACATCAGCACCTAGGGATCAGGACAGTTATGTGGTGACATCTTAGAGCCCTTCATGTGGAGAAGAGTGTTCCAAGGCTGTTAACTGAGTGGTTTTGATAGTTCTGAGACATTAAGTGTTATTGCACCAGGGTTGGGAAAATATTTCTTGGTCTTTTGGCTGACCAAGTCCAATTTTGTGCATCCATAGACCCAGACAGTTGCTGCAAAGCTTGGCCAGGAAAGTTGTCCAACCTGTTCCACTTTCCATCCTCTGATAAGGCTCTTGGCATCCTTTGCTGGCCTAGATTAACTGGCTGTCATGTCCTCCATGTGCATTTGGGCAAGCTTTCTACTTCATGGGATCAGCAACAGAGCAGCCTCAGTCCTGATTCATGCACTCTGAGGTCAGACCACAAAACCTGTGATTTTTACCAATGGCCAGGATTTGGTTGGAGAGTCTCCCAAGAATACTTACTTGAGGTACCCTCATACTTGACTCTTCTGTACACCAGCCTGTGCAAGGTCAAGTTTGATCTTATCACCTACAACAGTCAACATACATACCAGTGAATGCAACTGCCAGATCAGTTCTGCCCCCAGCCCAATCTCTCAAATGAGAAGACTGGTGCTGTGGCCTTGCCCAGGCCAGCCCACTACAGTCCCAGTTCTTAGACAAACCAGTGGGTGTCAAGACCTAGTCAGGGTAATCCCCAACAAACCCACCAGGTCCACTCCCAGCCCCGGTCTTTGTGCACGCTGGCATTGCTGTGCCCTAGCCCATCCTGTCCTGCATCTTCTCCAACTCTTGTATACACCCATGGGTACTGCAGCCTAACTCAACCTGACCCACCCCCAGACCTGGCTGATGCCTCATATAGCCTGCTTGCCCCAGTCCTAACTCTGCTGCTCACTAACAGGAACTACAGCCTAGCAAGGCGGTGCCCACAGTTCTACCAGGCCTGCTTCCAGCTCGAAATCTTGAGGTTTTTGTCAGGTAGTACTTTGGTTCAGCCTGATGTGACTCAAACCCAGTTCTGGAACTTGCTAGCAAGTATTGCAGTCTAGCCCAGCTGGCGTGTACCCTGTTGATTTTTCTGTCTTTGGTTAACAGTTTGTCATTTCTACCATTTTTCTAAACTTTTCGATTTCTACTGGCCCCTTTTCTTTAATTTTAATTTTGTTTGAAAGGAAGTGATGGGGAAAGATCTTACATCTGCAATCACTAGGGGTGGATCAGACTGGAGCCTGGAGCCAGAAGCTCTGTCTAGGTCTCCTAGTTGGTGGCAAGGCCTCAAGGATTGGAGCCATTCATGCTGCCTACCAGGATGTGCATTAACAGAAATAGATTGGAAACAGAGAAGTTCAAAGTCAAGCTACTCTGATATGAGATGTGAGCAATGCTAGCAACAACTTAACCGCTGCACTAAATGCTCATCCCTCCATTGGCTTTTGATTCTCTCATCCTGCTTATTTATAAGCCATCCTTACCAACCCCAGGTCACTGGCATAATTGATCAGTAAGTGGTTTCACTGTGTTCTTATGCATTTTTTCATTAGAACAGCATTCTGTATCACCTCCGTAGAAAGGTTATTGCTTATTTATCAGCAGTCTTTGGGCTGATTTGTTTACCAAGTTGGTGTTTATATGTAACAGTGTTAAACCCAAATTTATCTTGGTCTTCAATAATGGTGGAGATTTCAAATGTCGTCATGAAATTTGGGTTACAGGATCCTTATCATCTAGTAACCTTGTTGAGATAGCCACTACTTCATCTCAGAAAAGCAAATAAAGTTCCTTCAATGATGAGTGGACAGATGGGATCCATTCTATTGTCTGTGCTTTAGAACAGGATCTGTATATACACACATGTATGTGAAAGCCTGTAAGTGTATATGGGATATGTCTTTACTTAGTTTGTATTTATAATATGCTTATGCCATCTGTTTTTACATTTGGATAGAAATGGGAGCAAGATCCTGGAACCTTCCTGATCCTTATCAAGGGAGCTGGAGAAAAGGCTTTCTGTGCTGGGGGCGATATCAAAGGTAAAGACTTGTTTTCTTCCTCAGTTAAATGTCATCTTTTACCTACTTTTGACTGAAAAGAATTGACAGTGTTTTATAGAGATTTGCTTTGCCCTCTGGGATTTTTTGATCATAAGGTTAAATCAAAGTTAAAGAATAATTTGGAGACTTTTTGTAATTGATGTTAGAAAATGAGTGAACTAACAGATTTCCCCCTTTTATTGCCCATGTGCTTTGCTGAAATTCAGTTATTTTGTCTCTTCATGAATGATCCAAACAAAATATCCCAATTTGGTTTATCCAGCGTGGGTCTACTTTGTGTTTCACAGTGGCTGATGTGCAACAGTTCTGTTCCATCACCTGACAGTTTGACCATGTTGAGTGTCTTGCTTTTCTCAAAATGTGACCTTTTTGTACTTAATTCTGTAATTTTTCATGTGCTTGCTTATCATTCCTAATCCCAATGCAGGAATCTTCAGTGTACTTATTTATAACATTTTTTCTTAAAAATATGTGTTTAAACATGGTGAAATAATGAAAAGAGAAATTCCCTGTAATTTTCTGATTGGTCAGGTCAGTCTGCCTGTATACATGTAATAGAAATGACCTGTGTGTTCTCAGGACCAAAGTCATGTACTTATTGTCGTTTTAAACTTATTGTTTAAAAGATGCATATTCATCTTTTAAAAATGCTGGAGATTTTGTACATTTTTACTTTTGTTTCTTCTAGAATTGGTATATCCAGGGATGGTTTCCCCTCTTCCCTTTGGATTCTTATTCTTCATGGTTTTGTTTTGTTTTAAGGCACTGATTTCTATTGTTTGCTAAATTCAGAAGTTGAATTTAGGGTGTAATTTTAAATACCTGTTACATTTGAAGTAACTGAGTTTTACAAATTACAGGTTAGTGAAAATGTTAATTGATACAACGGATTTGTTACTGGGATTGCTTTTGGATTTACTGGTGACTGTAGATACTTTTTAAGGCTTGTTTTTCACTGTGGAGTTAGCCTTTCCTCTAAGAGTCGACCTATAGTCTCATCCATTTACAAATGTGCAAAGGTTACTTTGTTGATTTTAGCTGATTCTGTGAACTATTCCTGCATCAATACAGCCAGGCAGGTTCATTTGGAGACAAATCAGAAAGGGACCCACCACTGATGAGGGTGGTGAGCGCTGTTTTATTACAGGCTAGGGTTGGTATGGTTCTCAATGGGTGGGTGTTGGTGCTAAGCTGATGTGCATGGGCTTTTCATGCTTGATGGAGTTGGGCTAGCACCTGAGGTGGGACTTCAGCTGACAGCTCTAAGACAGTGGTGTTCCTGTCCATGATCCATTATTCCTGACTCTTAGGATAGGTAGGAGGTGGGACGCTGGTCTCTCTCTGGCTATTTCCTGCTGGTGGCAGATGGTGTCCCTGTGTTTTGGATTGGAGTGATTGGAAAAAATCAATCTTGTGATGCTTCTATGTGATTGCTTCAGATATGGCAGTCATTTGTTCCTGTAAGATTTTTTGAGGGCCCAGTGTGATGGCTCATCAGCTATATTCTTCTCTTGTATGTGCCAGGATTCCATATAGGCACTGGTTCATGTCCTGGCTGTGCCACTTCCTGTCCAGCTCACTGCTTATGGCCTGGGAAAGCAGTAGAGAATGTCCCAAAGCCTTGGGATCCTACACCCATATAGGAGACTTGGAGGAAGCTCCTGGCTCCTGGCTTCAGATTGGCTCAGCTTTGGCTGTTGCAGTTACTTAGGGATTGAACCAGTGGATAGAAGATCTTCCTCTCTGTTTCCTTCTCTCTGTAAATCTGCCTTTCCAATAAAAAAATAAAGCTTTTTAAAAACATTTGAAATATGTTGTTATACATAGTAAGAATAAAAGCAATATGATTATGAGGCGAAAAAGAGATAGTAGGCATTGGTAATGGTGGGAAAAAAAAAACAGTACAAATGATGCAAGGCCATGTTGGGGATAGATTTCATTAGTGTGCTTTTTTATGTGTGCAGTCCTTCCCTTTCCACACCTGATTTCTTGATGTCAAAGCAGTACTCTTCATGTAAAAAAGAGGCAGAGCCTTCCTTTTTTTCAGCAGTGCTTGGCTGTTTTGAAGGATCACTGCTGTCAAGCAGTCTGTCTGGTCTTACAGGTGAGTCAGTTGTCGGGCTAGATCATTTGTGTTATCTTAGAGAGTAAGAAATAATTGTGCAAATCTGTTGGATTGGTCTACTGAAGTTATGAGTCTGGCTGTTCCCATCCCAGTTCCTACCAGAATACCCAGCATGGTTACCAAGGGGTTAAGTCCAAAATCCCTTCTCATATGTCCAGTAGACAGTGTGGGAAGTAAACTTTGGCCTGTAGCATAGGACAGAAAAGGGAGAGTACATTTCTTTGTGCATTTGGTGGGAAGACAAATGTATACCTGATGCTGCAAAGGATGCTCTGGGTTGTTGGTCCTGTGTATCCTATAAGATAGTAAGGTTTGAGCTTAGGTAGGATTCTTATATATGGTGAGCATTTGCCAGAGCAGTTGCTGTTACTGGGTATAAATAGTGAATAAATGAAGTGATGGTTTGTGACAGGTTACAGGGTGTGTGGGACAATGGAAAGAGGGTCAGGGAGACATGTAATGTAAAAAGGAGCTGGACTGACCAGTGAGATGATGCAAAAATGCCTAGGAAAAGTATAAAAGGTTGAACTGCCTATGACCTGATAGATGTTCTACTTACTCCAAGGAGATGTAGTTCCAGGGATGCCATCACAAAAGTTTTGGTTTGAGTTTTGACCTTATTCCAGCAGATTGGAGATGGGGAGGCTTGCCAGTCCTTCAGTGAAGTATATAAATCCAGCATGAAGAAATGCTGGGGCTTTATTCAAAGAATAGATGAGAGGATTCTCTGATGAGAGATATGTAGGGGTTTTGTTGGGGAGTGTTAATGGGAGGCTTATAGGGGCTTTCACACACAAAAAGGCACCGGGTTAGAAGTAGTAGACAGCACAAAAGCATCCTATCCCACAAAAGGAAAAAAAGTGGTAAAAGACATTCTTGTTGCTGGTCTAGCTGGTTGGGGTGATTTATATTATTAGTCCTATAGTGAAGATTGAAGATTTAGTAATGTGAAAAACAGTAATAGTAGAGTGGCAGTGCATTATAGCATAAGAGACAAATGAAAGGTGAGCAAGGATATTGGAGTGGGAGTGTAATCACTGATGATGTTACACTGTAGCCAACACTTCTAGGAGAGGTTGAGGAGGTGGACTAATGGAGTTGAGTCACACCTTTTTTCTTGTTCTGTTATCTGAGGGATCTGCTGAAGTCAGGGATTCCAGGGACTTGAGTGCTGTTCATTGGGAGGTGTTGGGAAGCAGGTCAGCTTGAGTGTTCCAGGTCCTGTGGGAGTGGAGTTGTATGGAGCAGGTGTTACTAATTTCAATGGAGTTTAGCAGCAGTAGTAGGGTGATCAGTATCACTTACAGACCCCATTCCATTCTGGCTTTAAGGCAGCCTCATTTTGTTTAAGATTGACCCAGTCACCAATTGGAAGGTAATGGTGAGAAGATAGAGAGTATGGTTTATGGAAATGTGTGTCTGCGTAGATCTGTAAATGAAAACACATTTCACTGAGAAAAGGAAAGGTAAGAGGATATAAGGAATGGAAGAGAGGGAAGTCTGGTGGAAGAGGATGTCTCCCATACAGAATTTCAAATGGGCTGAGAATGAAGAATTTCTGGAAAAGAGATCTAATTCTTAATAGGGCCAAAGGAAGGAGTTTCACCCAGTATTTAATAGTAGAAACGGAGGAGGGAAAAGCCTCCACCTAGTTTGAGAAGGTGCCCATCATACCCAGAAGGTAATGTATCTGCTTCACTTGGTGGTGTATGGGCAAAGTCAACCTGCCAATCTTACCCCCAGGAGTAATCCACAGGCCTGATGAGTGGGGGGTGGGAATGCTCCAATACTGTGGTTGGGGTTAACAGTCTGACAGATGTTACATGTTTATTATACAGTATGCAAGGTTTCCTGTATAGTAGGGGTCAGGTGTATGTGTGGTTTAAAAAAAGATGATAAAGAGGTTTGGCTATGAAAGACAGAGTAAAGATTTCTTAGAAAGGTAACATGGAGGCAAGAATGAACTATTAGTTTATTATCTAGAAACCCTGATGAGTTCTCCTTGGAGGCTCCTTGTTGAAATTGAGAGATCTCTGAGTAAAGGGGAAGCAGGCTGAAGAAAAATAACGGGACTGAGATCCTGTGGGCTGCCATTTTACCTGTTAAGTTGGCTTGGTTGTTAGCATCCAACAAATTGTCTTTCTGGTGTCCTTTACAATGAATATTGACCACTTTTATGGATGATTGGGCAACACCTAGGAGAACCATTTTACAGGAATCCCTTGGGCACTCAGGAAGCTTCCCTTGCCATATCTTGGCATTGGAACAGATGTTGTAGACATATTGGGAATCTGCGTCAATATTAATGCTCTAACCCTTTGCAAAAGTCAGGGCTCATGTCAAAGCCAGTAGTTTGTCCTTAGGCAAGTGTCAAGCCTCAGTGACCCCTTGAGAAGAAGGTACCATCATGGTATCCCTTGAATGTCATATATCCAGCTAAGGTACTACCATGAGTAAGTGAGTCAGGGGCTAGAGGACTCTGAATGTGGGATGGTGAAATGTGGTTAGGGAGTTGTCAAGATACATATGACAGGCTTGGGGTTTGTGGGACTCAGATAAGCTAGAGGAAGAAGAACTGCTCAGTTGAAAGAGGAGCAGTGATGAAAGGTGACAGTGGGCTGGAGGAGAATGGAGTGCAGATTTTGGGTGGCAGATGGTGAGAAGAACTGAAGAAGGTCTTGTAGTTTGTGAGAGCACCACATTTGTAGTGGTTGGTAGAAGGTAAGTTTTGGAACTTTTTGGTTTGAAGTAGCAAATAGGGCGGGGAGGGCATACAGCTTAGGAACAGTTGTGTAGGTGAGATGGACAGAAAAGTTAAGGTGTCAGAGGGCTTGTACTAGCTGGAAGGAGCCACTGGATTTTCCCATTTTCATAGGAAGTATAGATGTGCTTGAGGTGAGTGGGTAGGGATAAGTGTGTGAGCCTGGAGGAGGCAGTTTATGATTGGCTTTAGGCTTTTACAGTCTTCTGGACTTAAATGGTGTTAGAAAATAATAGCTTTTGTGGAATCCTTTATGGGAGATGTGAACAAGAGTATGGTTGGTGTTGATTATGGGGAGGAATATAACCCATACTACAGGGTTGAGCAAAGAGATAATGGAAAAGAGAGAAGAGGCCTGGGATGGAACAATGGGGAGAAATTATTGTGTGATGAAGAGGACAAATGTGGATTTTGTCAGTAGGAACAGAGACAAATGTTCCAAACTGGTGGAGGAGGCGTCTGCCCAAAATGTGGTTGCAGGAGCTGGGGAGAAGCGAGCAGGGTGTGTGGGAGGGTAGTATCTCCAAAGGAGCATCCTAAAGAAGTGGGGGATCTCACACGGCAGCCTAGTGGCTAAAGTCATCGCCTTGCTTTTGCGAGGATCCCAAAAGGGTGCCAGTTTGTATCCTGGCTGCTCCATTATCCTTCCACGTCCTTGCTTGTGGTCTGGGAAAGCAGTCCAGGATTGTCCAAAGCCTTGGGACCCTGTACCTGTGTGGGATACGTGACTTTGGATTGGCTCCGTTCTGACCACCTGGGAGTGAGCCAGCAGATGGAAGATGTTCCTCTCTGTCTCTCCTCTCTGGAAATCTGACTTTCCAATCAAAATAAATAAATTCTAGAAAAGGAGAAATTTGCTCAGTGTTTCAGTGAGGCCCTTCATGCTAACAACAGAGACAGAGGAAGGAAAGAGTGGGCCACAACATTCACTTAAAATGCCTGAGCTAGCCTCAGTATCCGCCAAGAAGGAGGTACACTTGCCAGACAGCTTTCGGTCCATGGATGTGTCAGTGGCAGCAGCTCTTGAATTTTGGCCTCCTCAGTTTGTTCGGTTTAACAGAGATGAGATGTTCTATGCTAAAGGTGACAGAATAGAGAGCTGTCCCAAGTATGGAGGATGCTCCCCCTCCCACTGGACAGTGCATTTTCCTGTGTCCCCTCAGTCTGCAGTTGAGATACAGGTTAGTGGAAGGCTCAGATGGGGGCAGGCTTTGGCCCAGTGTCTAGAATTGCCACACCAGAAACAGGCTCCTGGAAGGCTGGGACTTGGTTTGCTAGGGCTTGGTGGACAAGAGAGGCAAGAATCTGGTGCTTTAATTTTGTACTGTCATCTTTTGGACTTTTTGTTCTTCATCACTATTACTGAAGACACAAAAGGCCATATTAATGAGCTCTCTCAGGAGGATTTGGGGGCCAACCTCTAGTTTCTGGAGCTTGTGCTGGGTGTCTGAGACCAATAGGAATTAAACTGGAAGTGTAAGAACAACCGTCCTCTGGAATTGGTATCCATTTGGAATTGGTATCGTTTCTGTAAGATGGGGCCTGAAGGGAAGTTTTTTCAGGCCCCTGGATGATTTCACAAAGCTTGTCATAGTTGTCCTGCTTATGACTGTTTTTAACCATAGCTTTTAAGAGGCAGGGAGTATGGTCTCAGGTCTGCACTCCCAGGTCTCTAGGTTGGATGAGTGTAGCTCTAGGGATGGCCCACACTGCCTCTGGGTGTCTCCCTGGGGTTTGGCATTGTAACTCAACTCTGTGTTGTTTGGCGGCGTACCAGATACTCTCCTTTAGTGGAGTACAGGGTAGAATAAAATAGAGATTCTGTGAAGTTGAACTGTAGGGCTGTGTCAAGCAAAGAACTTCTTTGATATTTGGAGTGTTTCTTTGAGAATGAGACTAAGTTCTTCAATTTGACCAGGCCCATTAAGGAGAAAGGGACATGGATTCTGACTAGAGAGGGGGAGACATGTTGGGGTTGTACACCTTGGGAGTGGTTAAAAGGAGAGGGAAGGGGATCAGGTGTGGAGTCAGGGATACATTGGGAGAAAAGTGAGCGGGTGGAGATTTGAAGGGGCCTGGAGGGTTGTTGGTTGCGTTGGGCTCTCAAAGAAGGTATGAAGAAGAAAGAAATGGCAAGGTGAAGGGTTTGTTGAAGGGTTTCTCCCCCTCAATGAGAACCTGAGCCGGGTCAGGATCACAGAGAGGGTGTGAAGAGGAACAGTGGTCAGAGAATTGGACGGAGGGTTGCCAGTTATTTTTCTCCATGGGGAAAACTTAAAATGAGAAGCAGGAGTTGAAGGGGTGACCTCAGAGGAGGAAAAAGCCCGACCCTAAGAGGCCTCTGACCGTTTGCTGTTCCTTTGTGTAAAATGTGTTAAGGTTGTTAGCAATCTGGAAATCCAGCGTAACAAATTCTGGCCACTGAGAATCATCACCCAATTTATATTGAAGCCAAGATGTAGTACAGAAGAAAATTAATCACTTCGATTTTGTCTTCCCTTTTGGTCCCAAGGCCAACAGGTCTTTTGGGAGACAGGCCAGGGAAAGTTGAGAGGATTGTGAGAAAATTCAGTACCTATGGAGCAGGCAAAAATAAGGCTTGGGTTGGGAACTCGCCTCTGAGTCATCCCCTGGAGAAGAGTGGGCTGCGATAGAACCTTCTCACAGTAGGAAAGACAGGGTCCCAGTGTTCAGGCCAGGGGTTCCTAGTCCAGGACATGTGGGAACAGGATGCCCAAATCAGACCCTCCGTGGGAAGAAAAGGAGGGGGAATGGCAAATTCTGGTCTGCCCCAGGAGCCTTGGAGAGATGGAGGTTGACTTCTTACCAGTGCATGGGTTGGAAGTCAAGTCTGGTGTGATATGTGATGTAGAGATCTGACAAGAGGTTTCTGGATGGAGTTCATGTGATTTTACGAACAGAAGAATGATAAGGGTTGAATGGGGAGGAAGAGGCAGAATTTTAAAAAAGTGGTGGTTCTTGTCATTTGATTCAGAATTCCTGCCCATCTCTTCAGGCTGAACTAAGCTTACCTCTTCTAGGGAGTCTTTCTCACAGCACCCCATCCTTCAATTAAGATAAGCAACTATGTAGCTGTAAGTGTGTTCTAGGAACCTATTCTCATTTGTCTGACCTCTGGGTCAGCCATCTTATACTGCTGTTGTGTACAGCATATGAAGCAGTGTTTAGTACATAGTAGGGGCTCAATAAATGTGTTGTGCTGAAAGGAATAAGGTCAAACTATATAACCAGGTGGAAGATGTTATATATATGAACATTAATTTACTTTGTATTGCAATATATTATGGAAGGAAAGACATATCTAGGAAATGTTAAGGTGCAGGACAAAATGAAGTCAAAAGAAAATTTATAGCAACATATAATTTGTAATTTAACCATATCAATTTATTTTTATACAAGTTTTATAAACTTATAGTAAGTCCATGAATATAAAGGAAAAGCTAACTCACACTCAAGCACAGTTTGTCCCAGTATCAGTGCACAGATTGCTTCTGGCACCAGGTGAGTGTATGCTTTCCCTCAGACAGCAAGCAGGCAGGCAGCTCTGCAGCAGACAGGCACTTGTAACTGAGCTGTCATCTACTGTACCTTAGCAGGAAGCTCGTGTTGGAAGCAGAGCGCAAACTTGATCAAACACAGTGCTACGGGATGTGGGTGTCTGAAGGAATGTGTTAACCAGGAGGCCATTTAGGTACACCTTGGAAAATACCTTTTTTTTGAATTTTATTCTTTTCCTTCCTTAGTGATCGCAGAAGCTGCAAGGGCAAAACAGAAATTGACTCAAGAGTTCTTCAGAGAAGAATATTTGTTGAACAATGCTGTTGGTATGTTTGTGTTCTGCTACATGCTTTGGAAAAGGAATTGAGGAATGAAATGGAAAATGTAATTTGTTAAGAGTATCTATTGATTGCATTTTATTTAAACTGTTATTGTGTCCCTGGCTTAAAGAAATGGATTAAATTATTCTGTGTATCCATGAGAGTTACCATTTAGTGTTAAAGTAGGCTATACTTAACTGCTATTTGTTACAGTTGATATGAAAATACAGACTTCTGGGGCCAGTGTTGTGGTGTGGTGGATGTATTGCTGCATGTAGTGTCAGCATTCCACATGAGTGCCAGTTTGAGTTATAGTTGCTCTGTTTTGGACATAGCTCACTGCTAATGTGCCTGGAAAGCAGTGAAAGATGGCCCAAATCTTTTGGCCCTGGTACCCATGTGGGAGACCCGGATGAAATTCCATGCTCCTGGCTTTGACCTGGCCCTGTCGTACCCATTGTGGCTTTTGTAAAGAGAATGAATGGTTGAAGAGCTCTCTGTTTTATTCTGTGACTCTGCCTTTCAAATAAATAAGTAGGTAGGTAAATGAATAAGAAAGAAAGATAAATATAGATTCCTGATCATACACTTGGCTGTCTTGCAAAAGAAGAACTTAGGTCCCAGTTTTCTTTATAGAAGGAAGCATTCTTTTCTTTCTTTTTTTTTTTTAAGATTTACTTATTTTTTATTGGAAAGAGAGAAGGAGACAGAAAGATCTTCCATCCACTGGTTCACTCCCCAGTGGCCACATCAGAAGGAGCTGAGCTTAGCCGAAACCAAGAGCCAGGAGCCTCCTCCTGGTCTCCTATACAGGTGTAGGGTCCGAAGGCTTTGGGTCATCATCTACTGCTTTTCCAGGCCACAAACAGTGAGCTGGAAAGGAAGTAGCGGTGACACGAACCCCATATGGGATCCCAGTACATGCAAGGTGAGGACTTTAGCCACTAGGCTACTGTGCTGGGCTCAGAGCATTTTCTAATTCAGAGCATGTTTTCTAATTCTGCAAGCACAAATATTTCTTTGTAGACAAGGTTTCAGGTTTAATTGGCAGTGAAACAGCATTTACTTCAATCAAACATGTGTTTCAAGTTAAGTTCCGTGGCTGGTGTGGTGGTATAGTAAGCTAATCCTCTCGCTGTGGTGCAGGCATCCTATACGGGTGCTGGTTCATGTCCTGGCTGATCACCTTCTGATCTAGCTACCTGATTATGACCTGGGAAAGCAATGGAGGATGTCTTGAGTGCTTGGGCTCCTGTACCCACACCCGTATGGGAGATCCAAAAGAAGCTTCTGGCTCCAAGTTTCCTGATAGCCCACCTCCAGCCATTGCAGCCATTTGGGGAGTGAAGCCGTGGATGGCACATCTGTGAGTGTCATTTAATGCCCTGTTGAACTGAGACCAGAACCGAGACCTTCTAAATCACAGTCTAGGTTTGTTTCTATAGGCTCCATTTGGAATGTATCTTGATACTTTAAAAAATGATTTATTTGTTTGACAGGGAGAAGGAAAAGGAGAATGAATCTCCACTTCTAAATAGTCACGACAGCCAGCACTAGTGTGGGCTGAAGCCAGGACCCGTTTGGGTCTCCTGTGTGGGTAGCAGGAGCCTAAGCACTTGGGCCATCTTCTGCTTTCTCAGACACATCAGCAGGGAGCTGGATGGGAAGTGGAGCAGCCAGGGCTTGACACAGCCCTCCAACACAGGATACCGGCTTTGCAAGGAATTACTTACCAGGCACCCAGATACTTTTTAGATGCATGGAACATAAGTATATTATTTAAAACATAATTGTGTATACAAACATTGGTGAGTTAAAAGGAAGATGGTAATTATATTTGTCAGTGGCTGAGTTATAAAAAGCCTTTATTCAAATTGAAGTTGAGTTATTAAATGATAATGAATAGACAAGGAAGAATATATATAAACTGACTTAAACATTATTTAGCCATCTTTGATACTTTTTGCAAAAATATTGGGAAAAGAGTTCATATTATTTTTGATAAAAGTAAATATTTTAAACATTGCAACTAATTTCAGCTCTGTTTCTTTTAGCATGTTGCCAGAAACCGTATGTTGCACTTATTGATGGAATTACAATGGGTGGGGTAAGTAGATTTTTTTGCTCCCCTTGTTGGTGTGAGTGAATTGAATTAAAAATAAGAATTGCTTACAAGAGGCAAAGTTATGAATATTATACAATAGGACTCATTGAAACTAACTCATATAGTTTGGATTGTTGGATTTTTGATGTAATATTTGCTTATTATCATTGGACCATTTAAACCCAAAAGACTATTTTACATCTTACTTACATACTATTTTAACCTTTTGAATTAGCTAGCTTTTTAAACCAATTTTAGTGAATTTCATTTTAAGAAATATATGAAATTAAAAAATTTAAAAATATATGTATATTTCTACCTATCTGTGTACATCATATCTATCCATTCTACTTCCAAAGTGATAACAGTTGCTTCAGAAAAGAAATTAAGATGTTGAAATTGTTTTTTCCATAGACTGATGGGAAATGTTGCCAAAACTGTATCAGCTGAACAAAATTTTATATTAGTTGAGAAGTGTCTTGATTCTTCTTGAAGTTTGCTAAACTTCATTTTTGCTAGATGAGCACTAGTTATTTTGCCCTGGTATTATTTCAAAGAAGTCTAAGTGTTCTTGAATACTTGATACAGATTTGTGGAAATCATACAAGTGGCAAATCATGTGGCTCTGACTAAAAACAAACCTTTAAAGAAGTGAGGGATTAGACTGTGTCTTCTGGACAGCTTCTTGGAGGTGGTGGTGCATTGAGCTGATCTTAAAAAGGTATTGTAGGAGGGCATATTCTTGCAGCCAAGTCCAAGGACCTGGGCCAGGCAACCCGAGCCCCGCTGGATTCCCTGCTCCCAGGACTCATGAAATGAGCACCCATCTCACAGGTGGGCAAGAGACCCAGGCCAGGCAACCTGAGCCCCGTGGGATTTTCCACCCCTAGAACTCATGAACCCAGCATGTGGGCCCAAGGGCTCAAGCCTGGTGACTTAAGACCTGCTGGATCCTCTGTCCCCTGATCTCGCTAACCCAGCAGTGGACACAGACCCTGATGCACATGGAGAATGTGGCAGCCCATTTGGTACCATACCAAAAGAAACAGAACAGAGCAAATTTAACGAGTACCCCAGCCAAATGATGACAGCAAAAATCTGGATGAATGGAGACTTGAATCTGACCATATCAGGCAGTAGACATTGGGAGGCTATATCATACTTGGATCAGTGAAATTGACAGCATTTCAGAACTGTCCAAACCTCTTGGGCAGAACCCTTGGAACATGCATACATGGAGCACCTGGGTGGATATCAGAAGGCAGTTCCCCATCCCTGGGCACTGAGACATTTGGGAAGCTGGGTGTGGCTTCCCCATCTATTTCTCCCCTTCCCCTAGACGCAAAAGAAGAAATAGCAAACTTGGAAATAATGATTTCACCCATTTATCCCTTACCCTCAATCCTCCCCTTTCTGATCAACCATGTAATTAACATGAAAACTTAAAAAAAAGTACTGTAGGGGTGAAAAAGAATTCTCTTTCTTACTCATCCCATAGATCATGGCTGATATCTTTTTTCTCATTTTTATATTTTTTACAATCTTTACATAGTTAATTAGGGTAAAAAGGTTCAAGGGCTATAGGAAAGTAAGACTATTTCCATATTGTTTCTCTTCATGTAAAGAGGGAGAAGATCCACCCAATTTCCCACCCACCCCAGGTGCCCAGCACATACTCGGCCCTCACATAAACCAATGGGAGCTGCAGCCTAGTCGGAGCGACCCACAATAACCCCAACCAAGCCCGCCCCCTACCCTGGTTTGCCAGTATGTGTAGCAGACTAGTCCAGTCTGTCCCACATCCCATTCAGCTCTCGTACATGTCAGTGGGTATTAAAGCTTAGTTCCATCTAACCAGCTCAACTATCCAGCCCTCACAGATGTTATTGGGTGCCTCTCTGTCTAGCCACCCCAGCCCCTGTCCTAGTTTTTGTGCCCTCCCATGGGAGTGGTAACCCAAGAGGGAGGAGCCCACTATTTCCCTCCCGGGCCTCTCCCACTTCCGGATTATTCACTCTCCAGGTGGTTCTGTGGTTTGGCTTGACAGAATTAGCCCCCAGTGCCAGCTTCTGCCAGCTTCTGCTTCGGCTAAGCCCAAACAACCCTCACCCACTCTAATTTTGTTTGCACCAGTAAGAATAATCAGCCCAGCCTGGCTTTTCCCTGATCTAGTCCACATGATGCCCACAGGTGTTGTAGCCCTGCTTAGTCTGGTCTACCCCCATCTCAGCCCCGGCTCTCCAGTGGGAGTAACTTTCCAGCAAGGGAACCCCCCCATATTCCCCTTGCCGGCTTCGCCCCCTCCCTTCCTGGTTCTCAATGTGTGTTGGTTGGGCGTTTTAGTCGCATCTGATACAGGCAACCTCCCCTTGGCATTCCGTATTGTGCACTGGTTTTTTTCATGACTGAACCTGGCTCAGTCCACACTCTTTTATGGCTGATATCCTTTTCATAAGAGACTGGTTAGTGAGAGATATTGAAGCACATTACTCAGTTTTACACGCTAGAGACCTTTTGAAATATTCAAAGATACAAGGCAAATATTTCTGTTCTTAGGTTAAATGAAGAATTGACAGTCATACAGAAGTATGATTGGACAGAAAGAATATAATCCAATGATAAGCTGGGAAAAATATGACAAGGCTTGTTCAGATTCTTCTGGCCACCGCTGTATCATTCCTTTTCTTCAGATAATGAGACAGGACACCTGTCACAGGAGGTCTAAATGACGTAATTTTAAGAGTTCAATGAAAGAGTTTCTTTATGTCCAGCTTGCTCTTAGACAGTGGTGGAAAAGCAAGAGAGACCCGTAAGGTGCCATATTTTGAGGTAGCTTGTTCTGACATGTAACAGATAGGGCTTCAATAAGTAGGTAGAAATAGGCCAAATGGTGAACTTTGAAAATCTGTGCTTATTCAATGTAATTTAGATTTAATTATTTGGAATTTAAGAAGTCCTTCTAGTAGAACTGCTTTAAATGAAGTCTTAGACGTTGGAGATTACTTAGATTTGCACATCTCTTTGGGAAGGATACTGCTATCAGCTGTGTAATTAAAAAGAATTGAGAGCAGTCTGCTCCTCTCTGCTTGTTAGTAAATACTGAGTGCACATAGGTTGTGCTTTCTTTGTCAAGCAGTTGTTAACATGAGGAAATCCAAGTTCTGTGGAAACAACACCTGAAGTGTTGAAGAAGTGCTATCTGTGACTACAAGTAAACTAGGAAAAAAAGGAAATAAAGGGGTCAGGGATCAGCCTTGAACCATACCAAGTTAAGCCACTTCTTGTGATACCAGCATTCTGTGTTACAGAGTACTCATTTGAGCCTTGGCCACTCCACTTTCAATCCAGCATATCTACTGATGTGCTTGTGAAGGCATTCGATGAAATCCAAGTACTGTATCTTGTGGGTCACCTCCATGCAGGCCTTCTTACTTTGGTCTAGCCCAGTCCTGGCTGTTATGGCTACTTGACAAGTGAACTAGCAGATAAAAGATCTTTGTCCTGCTCTTTGTCCTGCTCCTTTCCTGTCTGTTTCTCTGTCTCTCCCCCTTTCTTGGTTTCTGACACTTTGCCTTTCAAATAGGCAAGTAAATCTTTCCCTTTTTCTTTTTTTTTTTTTAAGCAAAACCAACATCAAAGGGCATACCCAATATCTTATAGAGGGAAAAGTGTGACCCCAATAAAACAGGAAAGAAAGCTGTGGGTAACTGACGTTCTACTTTGAATGTAACAGATTGGAGTTGAAATTATATTATATATGGTGACTTTGAAGAAGACAAACCCAAGCTTTCACAAAACATTTTAAAAAGATAAAAATGATGAGAGCAAATTTTTTGCAGTCGTGCCTATGAAAGAGACACACTGGGAACCTGACAGAGATATGATAACTATCCCACAGAAAGTAAGTCAAACTCTTGGAAGATAAATGAGGACGATTGCTTTAAGTAAACATAAAAATCCCCAACTTGTGTATAGAGGAAACTGTGTTTTATAGCAATAGAATCCATGAAAACAGACCCATATCTAAAAATATTGGGCTAAGTTTTTTGAAAACTTTAAAGTTCAAGAAAATATAAAGCCAACTGCAAAATATTTAGCCTAAGGAGAATGCAGGGATGATTTGTGAAGTCAAGTTATGTATAGAAGAACGTCAGTCTCACTTCAGATCTCTTACTCAGAGTGCTGCAAGTCAGTGAATTTGAAAGATTTATGAAATGAAGTTTTAAGATCCAAGAGTTTTCTACCCAAGTAAGTTGTCATTTGGTACATATGTGAAAGAAAAATATAATAATCATAAATGAATCAATTTGGAAAATGTGTTGCTGACTCATCACTGTTGAAAACATTTCAATAACTCTAGTCTAGTTGGCTAAGAGATTACCCAAAATGAATAACTAAACACTAGTTTTGATATGAAGGGATTGGTAAGGGGCTGACATTGTGGCATGGAAGTTAAGCTGTCACCTGGGTTGCCAGCATCCTATATTGAGACTGGCTGGTCAACTTCTGATCCAGTTCCCTGCTAATGTGTCCAGGAAAGTAGTGGATGGCCCAAGTTACTTGTACCTCTGCCAGCCCCTTGGGAGACCTGGATGAAGCTCCTGCCTCTCGGCTTTGGTCTGACCCAGCCTGGTCATTGCTGCCATTTGAGTAGTGGGTCACCCTCTCTGTAACTACCTTTCAGGTGAATGTATATACACACATTCTTTTTTCTTAAAAGTATTGGTGAACTGCCCTTTGGTGCTGTTTTTTGGAAGAACTTTTATAGAAACTAAAAAGGATCATTGCTGTAACTCACCTCTTCCAAATCCATCTGGCCATGTCTTTCTGTCTTTACAACATGTATAGATTTTGCATACATTTCTGTGTAGGTAAAAGCTAAGAATATTTCATTTGTTGCTAAATAAAAAACTGTAATGAAACAGGCCAATGTAATGTCTTGAATGGGAGAAAGGATGCTGCTACTTTTTCCTGTTGGCCTCTGTTTTCTGTATTTTAACATG